CATTGCTCCTACAGGAAATGAGCCTCCTTTTACAATAACCTACTCTACGTCGCAGCTTCCAGGAAAAGTCATCATGGAAATGAGTTACTGCTGAGATGGGTAAGTGCAGAAAGGCAAGCTTTCATTAATTTCTGGGTTGCTTGTATTTTTTTCTTTCCCAGCTATGAACGAGTTCTCTGAATGCTTTAAGTACATAAACAAATGTATAGGTCATAAGGACTAAGGACTTGTACCATTTTTCAGTAAAATCATATATATCTAAATAGGAATGAACAGTGATTACAAACTCTGACCAGAGAAAGAACCGGTTCAAGGTTCCGCAGCCTATGGTGGCGCCGCAGCCCAAGTCAGCACAGAATGAGAGCTCAATTCTGTATTAATTCACTGCCGAAACCGTGTAGGAGAGCCGGGTCTCTGCCCAGGGCGTGCCTGGGGATGCGGGGGACCTGGGCGGATCATCTGTGCGGATGTGGGAAAATTGTTTTCATTCCCCATTTTCACCTATTGCGTGTATTTCTTCCTTTCGTCCCCGTTGCAAAAGTTACACAAGACAACGCGAATGAAGGACTGGCAGGTCGAGGAAGGTCAATGGTGAAGTCGTTATTAATAACGAGATGGCAGTAAACAGAAGCAGGAGCTCAGGAAAGGAAGGCGTTTTGCAAATAGGAAACAGACTAAAATCTTTGTCTCCTTGAAATGAGGTGATTAGGTAATTGGATGTTTTAGCAATTAGGGTGTTTCTCTGGATAAAAGCAGCAGCGATGTTTAAATACAGTCCTCCACATTAAAAGAGAGTATTTTGGTAAATTTAATAAAGCTGAAGGCACCAAAGCTGACATTCCGTTTGCCACTCAACAATTTAACTTACCTGACATTTACATTATCTCCCTAATGATCGCTTCCGCTGTAAGAACATCACGTAAGGATAGCACGAAAGACAATTTCCATCTACCTGTACAAACCGTGGACCACGAGTGTGGCCAGGTCACGGAGTACAGCTGTGGGGCAACATAGCATACAGAGCAGAGGACACGGATTTTCCTCTACTGTGCTTTTCTGAGATATTTTGGACACTCTAATGCATTTGGTAGCCCAACCCCACCACGTGCGTATCAAAGACCTACACCTCTTTCCCATAAAATAGATTAAGAACGCCCATTTTAAAAGATGCTCTATCTTATGCTTATGTACAACATCACCTGCAAGTGCCGTAATTCGTTCCTATAGGACAGTGGAAACGCTCGGAACATCTTCACCGTCTCTGCTGTCCAGTGCAAACCCGTAGCACGTTGGGAATGTGTTCAATCAGAATGAAGCTTAAACGGTTAGAAATAAAACGAGCTTATAAATCAATGTCAAGTTTTAAAGATGTCTGTTTCATAGAAATGACTTGGTATTCCATTTCTCTGCCATGTAGAGACCTATAGGTGACTCTATACTCCTAGATGCGTCCAACCAGAAATAAACCACACTTTTCTAAAGTAGAATGTCTACTTGGAAATGTTTTCAGATGTTATAGAACTCCTCTGTTATGCATGCATATACACATATGTAACAGAAATACATAAAACACGTAATTCACGTATCTCTTGAAAAAATATTTTCCCATTTAGAAAGGATTCACTTAGGGGCGCTTGGGTGGCTCAGTTGGTTAACCGTCTGCCTTCTGCTCAGGACAAGATCCTGACTTCCCAGGATCTGGCCCCAAGACAGGCTCCTGCTCTGTAGGAAGTCGGCTTCTCCCCCACCTTCTGCCCCTCCCCACTGTGTGTGTGTGTGTGTGTGTGTGTGTGTGTTTCTCTTACTGTTCCTTTAGAGTAACTGGTTCTTCTAGCAAACTGGTAGAGAGAGAAAATGGTCAGACGCAGTGGGAGAAGTGCATCTCTTAGTGAGAACTGTCTTGCGAGATTTAGAAACGCGGTTCTTATCTTCAGAAAGCAAACAGAAAAGGGTGGGAGCCGTTGGGGAGTAACTCTGGGACAATCATAGCTGTAGCCACAGGCTCAAGAAATGCGCTCACACCTTACCCCTGCTTCTCTGTTTCCCAGCCCTAACTCCCCCTACGCTGCTTTTACTTGGGGTAAATTTTACTCTGGGTGGCGGCATTCACTGGTGACTGCGTGTCCTTCTTTAGAGACAGCCACCCCTAGGAAGGGACGCGGCCTGTCTCCCTATGTTTAGCGGGGAAGTTCTCCTCCATGACTGCAAACTCGCCTCCCTCCGAATTCCACGGTGCTTTTAAAACAAGGGAATGCTTCAAGTAGGCACAAAGTGCAGGCCAACACGGATTGGTACTACACGATGCTCCTGCCCCCCGAAAAGGGCACCGCTGTGCACTCCAACAGTGTGGCCGCATCCTCCTGAAATCAGGATCAGCATCCAAGATTCGAGGAGGAGGTGACAGGGTGAGGACTCCCCGAAAAGGAGGGAGGACAAGGGTGTTGCAGGGGGCAATGAATGCCCCCCCCCAGAGGCACTAGTATGTGTTAAGGTGGTAACATGGGAAAATAACACTAGGAGCAGAGCAGACTGGAAGAAGAGATTAGACTCAGAAACGCTGAGAGACGGTCCTGTCCTGGGGGCCAAAGTGTGGCAAATAACCCTTCTTCTGTACCCTTGTCCCTCTTTGTGGAACACACGATAAAATCTTGTGGGATGACGTCAGGCGCAGGGAAAGGAGAGTCAGGTTCAGTCTGTTTTCTCTCCAGGTGTCTCTCCGAGTTAAGAGTTTCCTACTCCCCAGCTCAGTGCTCCCATCCAGAGCACCTGCGTGCCCAGGACCCACACAGGATCAGGTCTAACAATCAATCCACCAACCGACTCCCTGCCCACTAGAGTCTGCATCTCTGATGAGGAAGAACTGAATACCCCCCAACTTTGTAAGCCCCGGACCAGCAGCTTAAGAAACGTGTGATAAATGGTTAAATAAATAAACCAGTTCGAAACTAAACTACTAAGCAACACCGAGAAGCAAAACCAGCAAATTAAAAAAATTAAAAAAAAAGAGGTCTTAAAGGGCAATTAAATTACTCTATATTCAGAAGAGTAATTTAGTTAAATCCAACACGCAAAAGATATTTATTGACGACACCTTAAATGTTATGGCTGGCCCTTAAATTGCAAAAACGAAATGTGAATGCATTGGAAATCCTTCCTTACCTTAGAGAGCTGAGCGTGTTAATCAGCTACATCTGAATATGATTAGGGGAAGAGACAGACGGCCAGGGGGTGGGGCGGGGGGAAAGGAGACTAATTTTTAAAAGAAAGTTTAACAAGGTAAGAATGAACTTTTGGCACTTTGGGAACGCTTGTCCCGTGACACTCAGATGTAGTGGAATGTGACTCACCGGCAGTTGTGCTCCTAACGGGAGATGTGCCCTTCCCTTTCCGCCAAGGCTCTCGCAGTCCCATGATCATCCAAGCTGCCCGGTGACAACGGTTTCATCTCGGGAATCGGCCTGGTGGCAGCGTCCAACTGCAAGACACAGCTGTCGGGCTATGCCCCCGCCAGCGTCTGGCCGGGCGGGCTCTGTCTCTCCCTAAACTTCTGATGTCATCGCATCTCCGTGAGCCCCAGCACCCCACCCGCTAGACAGGGGCCTTCCCAGACTTAACAAGCATGGCCAGCCCTGGGGAACTCTGCTGACATGCAGGTTCTGCATCAGGAGCTCGGCTAGGAGACCTCAGTTTCGTCCTTTCTGGGAAGTTTCCTGGAGGACGGTCTCAGGCGAGGACCACTGTCTGCTCCGGAGTGCCAGAACCAAGCGCTTGTCCTTCTGCATTTCCCCCAAGGACACTTGCCCAGCCTCCCCTCCATTCTCAGGGCGGTCAAGAACTCGCACAGGGGTTGGGCCATGCTGAGGCATTACGGGGTCGCCAGCATCAAGGGTCTCAGCGCAGGACACAAGGTCTCCCTGAGTCCTCACGTGCAGGTGGGCCCAAGCGCCGGTGCGGTGGGCCCGAGTCCCCGTCCCGGCACCCCAAACGGGGGCAGAAAAAGCCCCTCGTGCAGGCTGTGCGGGGCCTGCTCCCCTCTGGCTCTTGGAACGCAGGCCCCGGGCGCAGGGCTGTTTCTGCTCCGCAGCCGCAGAGGAAGCCTGTCGTGCAGCAAAGGGCCGCGGGCAACCTCCAGGCAGGAGTCTGTGGCTCCTCGGGCGCGCGTATTAGGACCAGGCAGGGAAGCTGGCCGACGGGGCAGGTCGGCGGGCCGGGCCACCGCGTCCAGCTGTCCTGAGTCTACCCCGAGCCCCGCGTGCCGCCCGGCGAAACAGGCCGTGGGCTGCGGGCCTGCTGTGCGCATCGAGCTCCCGGACTGAGCACCAGCACCGATGCCCGCATCCCACGGGACTGACAGGTCCCCCGAGAAACTCAGAGAGGTCAGGCAAGCTGCCCGGGGTCACCCAGCCTCAGGAGTCCAGGGCGGACGCCGCCCGAAGCCCACGTGCGAGCTCTCCCGAAAGGCTTAGGTAAAAACCAGCCCCTGGCGCTGAAAACGGCAGGAGGCCGTCTGCCCGCGTCCAGGCACGTGGACGCCGCCCTCGCGGCCGGCTGGACCGCCCCCAGAGTGAGGAAAACAAGGGGAGAACCACTTCCGGGGCACAGACGCGGGCGGGGGCAAGCACATCCGGGGCGCCGCCAACGAGGGTCGTTCGGGGCGAGCAAACTCGCAAGTGACGGGCCCGCCCGCAGGTGCCGCTAAGACGCGCGGGCGCACGAAACGCGCACCGCTGCGTATCCAACACAGCAGGACTCGAGATGACACTGGTGCCCTACCCGCGCCCCAGACACCGGGATCAACCGTCCGATTGTGCGCCGCCATCTTGAGCCCGGTGGCTTAAATGCAGTGGGCGTCGGCTTGATGACGTCGCAGCCCCGCGCCGCTAGGCCCTCCTCGACCCTGTTCCGCGAGACCTTCCTGGGCAGGCCCTCCGCGAGCGTGGGGCAGCTCTGATTGGCGGGGCCTTGTTGAGTGACGGCGCGGCCCCGCCTTCCGGGTTAGGGGGCCGCTCAACATGGAGGTGCCTCAGAGCTGCATTGGTAGGGCGGAGCGCTGGGCGGGCGCGGGGCGAGCGCTGGGCGGGCGCGGGGCGGGCTCTGGTCCGCAGAGGTCTCTCCCCGAGGTGGGCGGGTCGGAGCCGTTCCGCAGCCCCCCGGCTGGAGCGCCGGCGACTCCCGCCCACCTACCAGGTCCCCAGGCCCCGCAGTGATGCTGGGCCTGCGCGTACTGCCGCCTGGACGCTGAGCGCCCCCACTCCAGTCCACTCTGCCCAAACGAAACCCAAACCGGGGCTCGGCTACGCGGGCCGAGCCCGCTTCCGAGCCCAAGGAAGGTCTTAGGCCCCTGTACTCGCGGCCCCGGCTGAACGCCCCGGCGTGGGGGAGGGGCGGGGACGAGACCCCGGGGGGCCCCCAGGTGAGCCGCTCTGCGGCTGCGCAAAGGCGTGCACCTGTGCCCCTCGGGCCCACGGAGCCTCCGGGAAAACACTTGCATCGTTTAACTGATCACGAGTGGGCGAGTGCCGCGAATAACCTGCCTCGGGGCCTTCAAATGCCCTTGCCCGCCGTGACCTCTGTCTCGAGAACCTGGGCGAGCCCGTCCATACACTGCTTCGTGGGCATCCCTTTCGTGTGTTCCTTTGGGTTGGGGTTTGGGGTCCTTCAGTATCTACACGGGTGCCTGCAACGCGAGCGTGGGGCCAGGGAGGCAGGGGCTTTTGAGATGCGGTGATGCACTCGCCGCGAGCTCGCGTGTCCTTTGTTTGGAACTCGCTACTTTGTTTGGAACTCGCTACTGTGTAGCGAATCCACCTTCCCAAGAGTAGCCGTCCCCCAAGAAGTTCAAAAAAGATCAACAACAACAACAAAAAAAGACCAGAGTCCTTGCCACATGTGACGTAGTGATCTGTTTCTTGCCGGGCACATCAAAGAGCAGATTTGCACACTCTAGGTGATGAAGACATAGGGCACTTCCCTTTTTTAAAATTAATACAGCTGTATTGGGCCAAGATGAGGGTTTTTTTTAAAAAAAGTTTCCTTGAAAATGTTGATATTGAATGAGATTTTCATGGACGATACCGTGTTGAGCACATAACATTTGTATTAAAACAAAACCTTGGAAGGATGAGGCATGAGACAACACAGCATGTGCAATAAACTGTACCGACTGACGGCCTTTTTTGTTTTGGGGATTTTTATTTTTATTTAATTTAATTTTTTTTTTTTTGTAGCTAGAATGAAGCACATCAACTTGTCCTTTGCAGCATGCGGGTTCCTGGGCACTTACCACTTGGGGGCAGCATCTGCACTTTGTAGACACGGCCAGAAGCTCCTGAAGGCTGTCAAGGCCTTTGCAGGGGCTTCTGCGGGATCCTTGGTGGCAACCGTCCTGCTGACCGCACCAGAAAAAATAGAGGTAATGAACTTGTAACTGGGCTGCATTTCTCGCCAGCAAACTAACACCCGGCCACCGACGTGAAGGCTACCCCCACCAAGTGAACTACAGAGAAATAATCCTTTGCCTGGCTAACACAAAAGGTTAAGAGTTTTCTTTCAAAATTAATCATTATGCACCTGTCTTCTGGATTTGGGAAAGATTATTTCGGATCACAGTGAGACAAGGAAATAAAATGCCTTCCCCCCCCCCTTCCCACCCTTAAATGTCTATTTAGTCTTAAGGTCCCAGCTCTCTGTTTCTTTCGAGCAAAGGGTATTTCTTCTTTATCTGATCATGAGAACAACCAGCCCTGTTTTCAAGACCCGGAACACAGGGCCGATAATGCTTTGTTCCCTCCTGTTTACAAACAGGTGTCTAAAGGAAAAGGTGGACCAAGAATTCCTATTCATCAGAATGATGTAGAGATTTTATTTTTCATTCTCCCGATTAAAAAACTCTGAATTCTAAGCAGTCTGTCCAGAAGTAATGAAAATTAACCTTCATTAGGTATTACACTGGAGGCCATCTATGTTGTAAAAATGCTTTCTGCTTCTAGACAGCAATGCTGCATTTGCTGACTGGGAGAACTGTCTTCTTCTATAGGTGCCGAAAATCCTATTCACTCATAACTTACACACTCTAGTGGCTTTGAACAACCACTCAATAACGAACACGTTCGTGCCCGAGAATAAATTTAAGTCCCATTTAAAATGTCAAAACTACAAAACTTGAAACATCCAGACTCTTGTTCTCATCACCTAGGATGAGCTGCTTATGTAGGAAATACTGGATTTGAAGCCAGTCCTACGAGAACCCACTTAGGTTTTCTTCCTGTCTCTGCACGGTTGCGTTCTGGGAAACCAGGGAACGGATGCGGTGCTGTACACACTGCACAGAATGAGAACCTGAAGGCAGCGAACGTAGACGTAAGGTGTGAACACAACCCCCACCCCCCCCAAAGCTAGCAGGACCATAGGAGCTGGATTTGCAAGCTAGTTCCTTTCCAGAACTCTTGAGGCCAGGGACACCGAAGCGGTTGTTTTCGCCTCCTCAGTGCCATCTTTCCGTGACGTGGCGCAAATCCTCAGCTTTGCAATTGAACGGATTTAGTTCTGAATCTTCAGATTTAGGACTGTATTAAGTGTGCTTTACGAGTAATGTGACTCAGAAATACTGCCATAATATAGCCACTTAACTGAAATTCTGTGGTGTTCGGACAGAGACGGTTCCTTTGGATCTGAGACTTGAGGTCATATCTCAAGCCAGATTACCTGTTCTTGTATCTTTCTTCAGTGAATCCGAGACCCTGCTGTATTGTCTAGCTGTGTGGGTGAGATTGGGTGGGCTGTGGGTGCGTAAAGGAGCAGGACGTACGGGGTGCTCACACTGGAAGGTATGAAATGATTCTCTGTCTTTACCTGGACCATCCTCATTTCTCCTTTGTCAAAATAAATTTTCAGCCCATTGACTTAAGGTTATTTTATTTCTTTTGTTTTTAGCATTGGAAATACACCATTGCTTTGAGTTTTTTAGCAAACTATTTTCTACTTACTCACATGCGTGTTAGCTCAGCTCTTGCGGATGGTTCCTCGAGCTTTGCGGTGTTGTGACAAATACGTGAGTAATTAATCTAGTTCTGAGTTTATGCATGTATAATTAAGAGGAGCACCTGATGCTGGATATATTTTAGGTGGCAGGCAAATTTAGACGTCCGTATGGAACAGCTCAGTGCTGCAGGCCTTTTCTCAGCCCATAATTTGCAAGGCACGGTGTGAGGTACAGTGGACAGCACAAAGATGAGTAAGTCCGTTGCTTAATCAGGTTCCGGTGCGGTCAGGGGAGTGTGTGTGTGTGTGTGTGTCTGTGTGTGTGTGTGTGTGTGTGTGTATGTAAGTAAAATTAATACAAGAAAGTAGGTTAAGTGGGCAATCTGCCCTGGTAGAAGGAGCACACATCTTGGGGGCAGCTTCCCAACAGCAGCCCTGTGTCCACTCACGACCAGAAACCACCACCTCACAAACACAAATCTGGTTGTCTTACTCCCCCTCCCCTCCCCTGCCACCCACAGGGCTCTGTTTGGACTTAGGACAGGATCCAGACTTCTTGGGCTGCCTCCCGTGCGCCCCTGTGACTTGGTTCTCCAGTGGCTTGCTGATGATGACTTTCAGGCCAGTGGCCCTTGCTGGCTTGTGCTCCCAGCTGTCCCTGCCAGTCTTCCTCATCTGCCCCCATCTCCTGTCCCGCTCCTCCTCACATGTTAGATCTTACCCTAGCTGTCTCCCTGGAGGCAAGCCTTGGTTGATGCCCGCTGTGTAATATCTCTGTTGCTCCTTACACTAAATGACCACAAACTCAGTGGCTTAAAACAACACACAATTATCGTCTTAGATTTCTGGAGGTCATAGTTCTGGAAGGGTCTCCCTGGGCTAAAACCAAATTCTCAGCCAGGCAGGGCTCCCTTTGGGGGCTCTGGAGGAGAATCTGTTTCCTTGCCCTTTACGGTTTCTGCAGGCAGCGTGCATGCCTACGCTCATGGCCCTTCCTTCCATCTTTAAGCCTTAAGCGCACCCTGTTCCAGTCTCTGTCTCTGGCTGTGACACTCGAGCCTCCCTCTTTCACTTATAGGGATCCTTGCGATGACACAGGCCTCACCTGGATAAGCCAGGATAACCTCCCCATCTCAAAATCTTTCACTTAGTCACTTCTGCAAAATCCCTTTGGTCCTGTAAGGAAACCGTCACAGAATCCAGAGACTAGAATGTAGCCATCTTTGGGGGAGGGGGGACTTGATTCTACTTATGCACTTTCACAGCGCTCTCGTCGTGTTCTGGGATCTACGCAGAAGCAGTCCTCGGTCTCAGGAGGGCAAGGCCTCTTGGTACTTCATTGCACCCGAGTCCCAGTGCCTAGGACCCAGTACAGGTTGTGTCGTGTGTGAGTTAATAAAGAGAGACCTGGATTCAGACCCTGACTCTGGACGAGTTTTGATGAGCTATTGGGAAAGATGTTTAATCTTTCCAGGCCTTTGTCTTCTGACTTGTCAAGTGGGTTATTATATCCACCTCCCAGGGTTACGAGAGCATGAGCTTCCAGAATCTGCATCAGGGAGTCCCAGCACAGTACATGCCCACCCTCCTCACCACTTGGAGGCTCCCAATGGCCAAGACCGATCATCATCATGACTCCTCTCTTGGTCATTGCTATCGTCCTTAGTAATCAGAACTGTTGCAATCAGACTATATCAGAGGTCACAAAATTGGAATGGGAGAGGAGGTCAGTTGTGCTGAAGACATGTGCTAAATGAGAATCAGAATTGAGCCGTCAAGGATTTCCCAGATGTGGGCAAAGCCCTTAGAGGTGGTTTAAAAAGAAAGGGGGAAAAAAAACTGGATTTGGGAGCCGCATAGCTCGCCGGGGGACTAAGCATAGTGGGGTGAGGACGGGTCGGGTGGGGGGACTCACGCAGCTGGGAAGGAAAGGGGCACCGAAGGCTGAGTGTTGGGTTTATAAGATGTCGGGTCCAGGTACCTTGTGGGATGGCCAGAGAATTCTGGAAAAAGAAGGAATTTTCTCTTTATCTATAAATCATAGGTTCACCCATTTTTTTTCTTTTTCAGGAATGTAATGAATTTACCTACAAGTTTGCCGAAGAAATCCGAAGGCAGTCTTTTGGGGCGGTGACACCCGGCTATGATTTCATGGCCCGACTGAGGTACATACATGAATATAGAACATTTCCCTCAAAGCACGTGCAGACAGACAGCTGAGGACGCTCTGTGTAAACTGGGGCACGCTCGGGGCAGCGTTCTCCCTTCTAAAATATTTACAAGGCGTTCAATAATTCAAGGTGAATAACGCAGGCCACTTTTTCTTCTTTAGAAGCGGAATGGAGTTGATTCTCCCTCCCAACGCTCATGAGCTGGCCCACAGCCGCCTGCACGTATCCATCACGAACACCAAAACCAGAGAAAATTACCTGGTGTCCAACTTTCCCTCCAGGGAGGACCTCATTAAGGTAACACAGCCACATCTCACGGCGGAGAGATTCAGCGAGGACTTAATTCCTTCCCCCAGGCCATGGGCATCACCGTGTTCTTTAGAACCAAGGTTTCCTGTCATGCCTGGGACATGATGAGGGCTCGATCAGTGATGTGGGTGGTGAGTGGCTTAACCGGTGTCCCTCAGAGGCCACCTCGGGGGCCCCAGCACCTCCTGTACTGGGTCTGTGCTTTCCCCATGATTGCCGGCTCACCCACGAGTCGCTGGGAGGCGGGTCGCTCATGCGACTGGGGAGCACAGTGGTACTGAGTGCCTGGCATGACGTCGCTGGTATCTCCCCGTTCCCGGAAGACTTCGTTCCTGTGCGATCTTATTCAGTCCTACGCAGGCCTTCTATACATCAGGGAGGGCAGGTGTGACTCCTGCCCTTTTACTGCTTTCTTCTTTTAAAGAGAGGAAACGGGTGGAGAGATTTTACGTGACGTGCACCAGGGTCATACCGACCGGCTGCGGGGAGGCATTCTGCACCCTGGGTCTCTCGACGTCCCCATCTAACGTTCCATTTCATCCTCCCATTCTGTTTTCATGCTTTTTCTACACATTTAAAAGTTGCTCAGTTGCGAATTTATTATCTCTGGGAAATAGTTTGCCTAGAGTTGCAAATACAGCATGCTTGCTAAGGTAATACATCAAATATTTGTAAATTGGAAGGAGTGCACTTTTCTTACAAAAGCCGGGCAGTTTTTTCTCTGTTTTCCCTTTGGAGGGAGTCACGGCCAGCTTCACACAATGTGAAGAATGCGTGTTTGGACACAGCGGTGGGCGATGGATTGAGGGTAAGTGGGGAAACCTCTGCCGGAATTACGTGATGGACGCATTGATTTTTACTATCGAGTCTAAGTGTTAGAGTCCTACTGTGTGAATGATATAATCTGAAATACCTAATGAAATGCTGAAATGACGAGTAAAATTACTTTGTGACTTAATAGATTAGAATATTTTTACTCGGTGTGCTGACTGTGCTCCTCTTGCACTTACAAATTAACAGTCTCTCCATCGTAGAAAAAAGACATTTTGCTGTACTCCGGTGCAGACGCGCCAGCTGTACAGGGAGGAGCTGCTCAGTCCACACCTGGGTTGTCCCCACCTGCCAGTGTCAGCAGACCCGGGGAGCTGTCAGTGCGCTGGGCAGGGCTGCGGTCGCCGTGTCGGAAAGCGGGAGGCATTGCGTGCACTTGTTACCTGCTCCTTGTGTCCGTCCTTGGCTTCTCTCTCGACCGTGGCAGAGCCCCTGGGGTTCCCGTAACCCTCCCGACTTACATGTGCTACGTCGCTTACTGCCTTACTTACTCCGTGTTTATCGCCGATCTTTCCTCGTGCGAGTGTAAGCTCCCAGCGGGCAGGGTTTGCTCTGTTTTGTCCGCTGTGACAGTCCCCGTGCCTGACGATGGGAATGGGTAGGTAGATGAACTGAGCTGGCATCTGTGACAGTGGCCTCACTGGGAACAAACAAAGGGGTGCCTGGGTGGCTTGGTGGATAGAGCGTCCAACTCTTTTTTTGTAAGATTTTATGTTTTTAACCTGAAAGAGACAGCAGAGAGCATGAGCAGAGATGGGGAGAAGCAGTCTCCCCACTGAGCAGGAAGCCCGACGCAGGGCTCGATCCCACGACCCTGAGACCATGACCTGAGCCAAAGGCAGTCCCTTAACCAACTAAGCCATCCAGGAGCCCAGAGCATCCAACTCTTGATCATGGCTTGGGTCTTGATGTCAGGGCTGTGAGTTCAGGCCCCGCAGTGGGATCCACAATGGGGGTGCAACCTACTTAAAAAAAGAGAAGAAAGAAAGAAAGAAAAAGAAGAAAGCATCCGGATCCTACATGTTGAGTGATCTTTACAAAATGACTGAGCTGGTCAGGGGCCTGGCTGGGACCACCGACCAGATGTCCAACGTTCTGCTTGATGACATCCCATGCTGGATATATTATCCCCCTCTCAGTTCCTTTGATGTGACAATGTGCTTGGCTGAATCGTGGTCTCCAAAGATGTCCACTCTGTAATCTCTGGCACCCGGGGACATGCCACCTCCCACGGCAAAAAGCATTTTGTAGATATGATCAAGGTAAAGATCCTGAAATGGTGAGATGACCCTGGATTATCTGGGTGGGTCCCAATAAATCCATAAGTGCTTGAAAATGGAGATCGTCCCTGGATGCCACGCACGTTTGCAGTTCCCAGCTCTCACGCTGGTAGAGCACAGAGGTAGTGGGCGCTGTGGGCCGCTCCCCTCTGACGGCCAGCAAGGCAAAGGGGACTTAAGTGCCCCAGCAGGAAGCATTGTCCCCTACAGCCTCCCAGAGGGAATGCAGGCCTGCCGATACCTGGGTTGTAGCTGCACAAGACATTCTGATCTCTAGACTATGTAGTAAGAGATTTGTTTGTTATTTTGAGCCTCTAAGTTTGTAGTAATTTGTTACAGCAGCAATAGCAAACTACTGCAGTAAGTAAACATGATTTTTTTTTTCAATTTCCTTTGTTTTGGATGATAACTATTCAGAGAATTGGTGTGATTACTTGAGTTCACTGAACAGAAGAGAAATGGTTGACACAAATGTGTAATATCTTGTAAGGAGAATAATTGAATAATTAACATTTATCCTAGGTTATACAAGAAGCATTTTAAACATTGAGCAGAATGCTCTAACCTTTTTCAGAACTACAAATTGGAAGGATGGATGGATCCTGGATGGCAGACAGTGGCTAGGAAATGTCTGAAACCCATGCCTGGAATACTAAGAAGCAGTTAGTTCAACAGTAAGACCGGGTAGGGACTGAGGGCAGAGGAGAAGGCATGGAGAGGAAAGAGAGCAGACTCCCTCGCAGGGGGGACATCCTGATCTTCTGTGCTCTGAGTAACGAGGAGGCCAGTGGCAGATTGCCCAGTGAGGAGCCACGCGGCAGGCTGGCCATTCTGACCGCCTCGGGCAGTGGGGAGGGACAGGAGCAAGCCGCCTGCTGGCCCTTCCGCTCCCTCCCTCCCGGGGAGACGGGAGGCCCCGGAGCCAAGCAGGGAAGCAGCACCACGGTGCACACTTGGGTCTCCTGGCAGCTTTGCACCCCTGGCCCTCAGCACACAGCCCTGGGTTTCCTTCCCAGTGTTCGGAAATTCTGGAGGTGAGAGAGAGAAACGCCGACACGGGCCAAGAGAATAAGACGAAAACCAGAGGTAGAGGATGTCAGGTGTCAGTTGGCCACTGGTGAAGGAGTCTGGGAGTACTGAGTACTAGGGATTTCAACCACCGCATTGCATTTTCTACCCGTTTTATCATTAACTGGTTTATTCTCTTTCTAACTAGTGTTTTTAATTTTTTCTAAATGCTGGGCTCTTTATTACCCACCGGGTGACTGCCACGTTTAATTCCAAACAGGGAGTCTCTGTATGTTAAAGCGTGTGTGCACATCTGTATATGTGTACGTGTGTCCAGTCCTTTGTGCATGCACGGGTGCGCGTGGGTGCTCTCCTGCACTACTGCGTGTTTCATGTGCGTCTCTCAGTATCGTATCTAGGTCTGTCGTTTCCTGACAGTGCCCTCCAGCGCGAATGATGTTCAAGCCTCAGTTTTTCCAGCTGTGAAATGGACGTAATAACTCAACCTGTGTTACCAGGGAGAACAATGAGTAAAGCAAGTAAAAGTGTGTTTCCGGCTGTTGGTCACAGCCCGTACTCAGCAAATAGTAAAGAAGTCAGGTACGAAGCCACACACGTGACTGGTCGGCATGCCGGTGTGAGCCCGTCATGCCATGTCAAGTGTCCCAGCTGCCCTCTGTGGAGTGGGAGTCAGCCTTTCTTGCACAAGTAGTTCTCCTTCCCCTTCCTTATCTTTTGTGTTCATGACTAGTGTGCTGACCTACCTTGGCAATATCTCGGGAAATGGATCATTACCTAGTTTTACCACCTTTTGGCATAGGATTTTGCATCCCTTGACCACTGGCTTTCTTTTATAAATGTGCTCTTGTGTGAGGACTCCTACTTAAATTGTATCAACTTTGCTTATATTTGCATAAAAGGTTAGTCTTTCCTCTGATATCTGCAACGATAGCTGAATATTCTCTAAGAACTTGTGTTGACCAATTATGTGGTCCAAAGATTCCCTTTTCTTTCTTTCTTTTTTTTTTTTTTAAGATTTTACTTATTTAAGAGAGACAGAGATAGCAAGAGAGAATAGAAGGGGGGAGGACACAGAAAAGCAGGCTCCCCAGTGAGCAGGGAGCCAGACGTGGGGCTCGATCCCGGGACCCTGGGATCATGACCTGAGCCGAAAGCAGACGCTTCACCGACTGAGCAGCCCAGGGGCTCCCAAACATTCCCTTTCTTTAGGATTGAATTTCCATAGTGTTCTGAACCTCACGTGCACAGTGATGAAACTCAGTGCCATGGTCTGAATGTCTTAGCCCCCACCCCACCCCCAATTCATATAGTGAATTCTGAATGCCGGATGGGATAGGATCAGGATGAGGGCCTGTGGGAGAGGAAGAGGTCTTGAAGGTAAACCCCTGTCCAATGGGATTAATGCTCTGATAAAAGGGACCCCTGACCCCTAGCGTCGTCTTTCTGCCTTGGGAGGACATGGCGAGAAGCAGGCTCTCACCAGGTGTGGAGTCTGCTGGCACCATGACCTTGGACGTCCCAGCTTCTAGAGACGTGAAGAATCAGTTCCTGTTGTTTAGAAGCCACACATCTGCGGTGTTTTGCTGCAGAATCCCAGATGGACGGAGACAGAAAAGCAGTTCTGCAACGTGGGGGCGCTGGGAAGCGGGTAACGCACAGAGGCTGGGAGAGGCGCGTGCTGGAGAGAGCCCACGTTACCGTGAGGGGACCTTGAGAGGCGCGTGTACAGAGGACTTGCACAAGAGAGACGTGAGCTGCAGAGACAGCCTCGTCTTCTCAGAGACCTCCGAATGGTGGTAGGACTGTGGGTCAGGAGGTCTCCGACAGAAACAACGATATGGTCCTGGA